TCCCATTCTACCCTTACAAACCCATCCCATTCTACCCTTACAAATCCATCCCATTCTACCCTTACAAACCCATCCCATTCTACCCTTACAAATCCATCCCATTCTACCCTTACAAACCCATCCCATTCTACCCTTACAAACCCATCCCATTCTACCCTTACAAATCCATCCCATTCTACCCTTACAAATCCATCCCATTCTACCCTTACAAATCCATCCCATTCTACCCTTACAAACCCATCCCATTCTACCCTTACAAACCCATCCCATTCTACCCTTACAAATCCATCCCATTCTACCCTTACAAATCCATCCCATTCTACCCTTACAAACCCATCCCATTCTACCCTTACAAACCCATCCCATTCTACCCTTACAAACCCATCCCATTCTACCCTTACAAACCCATCCCATTCTACCCTTACAAATCCATCCCATTCTACCCTTACAAACCCATCCCATTCTACCCTTACAAACCCATCCCATTCATTGTATAAATCTTGTAAAATATGTTCATTATCTTTATATTTATTAGTATATAATTTCATTTACACTTGTATAAATTAGAACTTCACAAACTTGGAACAGCAATGATAAAACTAGTGTTTTTGAATAGTTTCAATTTAGTGGTCTGCATGTTAACAGGAAAAATTTTAATATCTAAATAGTAAATAATTTAAAAACACTGGTGAAATGTTCAATGTAAAACTATATGTACAAAATGTTCATTTTAATTTATCATTGTCAAACTAGTCATTGTAAATATGCCATTAATGTTATCATTTCGGTGAAGAAAAGCTATTTTTTTTAAGAAGCAATTGAGTTTCACAATTGTAATCAGATCTTTCTATCAAACCAGCATTGAGTGGATACTAATAGAAATTAAACTTTGTTTTTGTTTCAAAATGAAGTTGCTGTGTTTGTGCTTGTTAAAGTTTGGGAAATAAATGTTTTAAAAACTGAGATGAATAAGACCAGGGGCCCTCAAAACTACAGAACAATAGCCAGATCTGGCCCACCAGGGGTCCTTAATCTAGTCACCATAAAAGTACCAAGGTAGCAGTGACCAATATACAATAGGACAAGGACCATCTGTTCAAACTGATTATAGATTCCTAAATTTGACTCTTTGAATTTTAGTATCAAAGATGTAAACATATCTCCAAACACAATGCAGGATCTATTTTCCCAACACAAAACATGATCTATTTTCCCAACACGATACAGGATCTATTTTCCCAACACAATACAGGATCTATTTTCCCAACTATGCAGGGTCTATTTTGCAAACCAATTTTATTGTTAATTTGTGGGGGTTTTTTTTAGTTGGTTGAAGTGTAATTTTAAGAATAATTTTTCCTTTTCATAGATGTTCAATTATTTTTTATTATTTTAATACTTAGAATTAGACTATAGCAGCCATTTTTAAATAAATCATCCTGTAGACTGTAGAATTTATCCTTTTAACTTTTAATATGTACCAGAACAGATTTATAAAAAAAGCGATATAGAAAATTTATCAAGCTCATTTAGTATAAAAGTATATAATATCATGGCCTTTAAATTGTACATTTATAAGTTAATGCTGATGAATTTTAACATTTTAAGTTCAACCCATTTCGATTTTTTAAATAATTAAATAAAATAAAAAACTTAAATCATTGTTTATTGAAAACAAATCATGTCAACTTTGGCCAAGGCTTTTTGTATAGTGTACTGATATGTATATGTGTAGAGTTGGAACACAGCTTGGCTATGGTCAGATGTTTCTTGAACTATTGAAATGCTCCGTGTCCTGAAATTTGTAGTTTGTATATGGTATATTTTATCATTTTAAACACAACAAATGTGATGATGTCATTAATTACCAGTACATACGTTAAGATGATAAATACATTTTATAATGTGTGGAAATAAATATTTTCTCTAATGAATTGTGTTCCATTTGTTTATGGCTTACTTGCATGTATTTTTAAGTTTCTGTAAAAAAAAAATTTTTAAAACTCAACTAATAAACATTTCAAAAAGTCGTTTGAATGGGCTGATTTGCCAGTCACAACTTTATGAAAATGAAAACACTTGTGTTTTATCCCCAACAGTGGTAACTTATTAGTATTAGTGACTGCGTGAAGATGTGACTGAGTTTGAGCTCCTGAAGATTGTGTCAAGAAATACAAAGAAGATCGGCCATTTGTAAATGCTTTCGTCTCCATGGAGATCAAGCACATCCCCTGGCGCAATCTCTTTAAACTGTTTTTTTTTTTTTTTTAAATGTGCTTTTTTTTTTTCCTCTCCCATAAAGGTTTGAAAAATTGCGACAACGCTGGCCCCGGTTGTCATGCGGCACGTCAATTCATTTATGTTGGTGTGTTGAATCTCTTTAAACTGTTTTTTTTTTTTTTTTAAATGTGCTTTTTTTTTTTCCTCTCCCATAAAGGTCTGAAAAATTGCGACAACGCTGGCCCCGGTTGTCATGCGGCACGTCAATTCATTTATGTTGGTGTGTTGTCCGTTGTATGAGTTCTAAACTCTAGAATCTAAAAAAAAAAGGCATGCGCCCTTCACTCAAGAGTTGTAATGTAAGCATGGGACCTGGTGGCCGACAAGGAAGGTGACTCAGCCAAGGCTTGATCTGTTTGGAGGTATGCGAGACTGTACGACTGCATCAAACGAAAGGGTGTTGGGGTGACCGAGGGGCTTACACTTGAGTCCCAAGCTTGTGGACAGGGGCTCAATCCTGAGCCTAGACCAAACAAAACCAGGACCCTGGGGCCTGGGTGGGTGGGAACCGTGTAGATGGCAGCTCATCTAAGAGAAGGTCATCTAAGAGAAGGTCATCTAAGGGAAGGTCATCTAAGAGAAGGTCATGTAAGGGAAGGTCATCTAAGAGAAGGTCATCTAAGAGAAGGTCATCTCCGAAAGGAAACCCGGAGCTGGAGTCCCGCTATGACACTGACACAATGAAAATTCCGACAACGCATTAGAGCCCATGCAGTGAGGCACAAGAAACTCTGCTGGTCGTCTACTGCATCCTGGTCTATTTCCAGTCTTCTTGACCAAGGACGAGGGAGGGAGGCTGGCGAATTAAGCAACGCCCCCTCACTTTAAACACACTCCAGTTCAAGGCCACTGCTCAAGGCGAGTATACGAGGGACCAACAATAATGTCAAATGAAATTTTTCATATCACAACAAATGTTTTGCGATGGTACAAATGTGTTGCGGTGGTACAAATGTGTTGCTAGGGTACAAACGTGTTGCTAGGGTACAAATGTGCTGGGGTGGTACAAATGTGTTGCTAGGGTACAAACGTGTTGCGGTGGAACAAATGTGTTGCTAGGGTACAAATGTGTTGCTAGGGTACAAATGTGTTGCGGTGGTACAAATGTGTTGCTAGGGTACAAATGTGTTGCGATGGTACAAATGTGTTGCTAGGGTACAAACGTGTTGCGATGGTACAAATGGGTTGCGATGGTACAAATGTGTTGCTAGGGTACAAACGTGTTGCGATGGTACAAATGGGTTGCGGTGGTACAAATGGGTTGTGGTGGTACAAATTTGCTGCTAGGGTACAAATGTGCTGTAGTGGTACAAATGTGTTGTTAGGGTACAAATGTGTTGCGATGGTACAAATGGGTTGCGATGGTACAAATCTGTTGCTAGGGTACAAACGTGTTGCGATGGTACAAATGGGTTGCGGTGGTACAAATGGGTTGCGGTGGTACAAATGGGTTGCGGTGGTACAAATTTGCTGTTAGGGTACAAATGTGCTGTAGTGGTACAAATGTGTTGTTAGGGTACAAATGTGTTGCGACGATACAAATGGGTTGTGATGGTACAAATCTGTTGCTAGGGTACAAACGTGTTGCGATGGTACAAATGGGTTGCGGTGGTACAAATGGGTTACGGTGGTACAAATGGGTTGCGGTGGTACAAATGGGTTGCGGTGGTACAAATGGGTTGTGGTGGTACAAATTTGCTGCTAGGGTACAAATGTGCTGTAGTGGTACAAATGTGTTGTTAGGGTACAAATGTGTTGCGATGGTACAAATGGGTTGCG